GGCTCCTGAACCTCCAGAGCCGTAACTTTCATCATGACAAAGGGAGCCTTTCCAAACATGACTTCAAGTTCATCAAATATGGTTCCAAACTAGATGGTGGGGGCGACATTGTATGCATTGCGGCTCTTCGGCAGGTTGCATGAGAAAGTGAGCGCAAAGAACGCCATTGCACTAGCTTCAAAAAGAAAGCTCTAGGGTTAGTTATTTGTCCAATACCTTATAATTCTAGTGCGAGCACTAAAATTAACAATGGTCAATCTGTAGACCGGGCAAGTATTTCAATTTAATTTTAGTTTGTGGAAAATGTTTCAGAATTTAGTAAAAATAAGTTTGAAATTTGGAGAATTTAATTAATTATATATAGAATGTTTAAGGAACTAGCACACACGACATAATTTGATTTAATTTGAAAAATATCAAACCAAACTTGAAAGGGAAAGTGAAGTTTAGGACCTAGTAAGGGACTGGATTTACAATGCACAATGCCCGGGTGGAACTAGTCCACCAACACACCTATTGAGGCTCCAACCCCACACAAAGATTAAAAGTCCTAATGAACTCCTAAATTTATCTGTTCAAAGGTTGTTGAATAGATGGTCATGAAGTCCAAAAGAGTTGACTGTACTTACCCAAGATAGAAAAGGGTGAAGCTTTTCAACAGAAGAAGGGTAGTTTGGTCCATAAGGGACACAAACACATTATCGATGTATGAAGACAATAATCCTTGATTTAAATGGAGAGAGAAACTACTCCCAATCAGAGTCGCCAAGAGCTGGTTTACACTATTTTGGTTAAGAAGTTGCTCGTTGGATGTTGTCGATCACTGGAACCGGAATCCCGTGGCCCACTTTGGAAAGGCTTTATAATTTACATATATATATATATATATATATATATATTAATTCTTAGATGGAGAATAGACACCATTTTTGCACCACCCTCAGCAGGAATTGGTTGATGCCAACAAAAATCTCCTGAATGTTGGAAGTAAAGAAGTGCACAAGAAGATCTCCACTGTAGCAGGGATAAAAGAGACTCTCACCCATCAGGAATTCTCCTCTATCGCAGCGACAGTTGAAAATATAAGTACTTTTGTTGGTAAAAAGTCTACAAAGGATAACAATTTGGAGATCCATTCAGAGGTAGATGCAGTTGGGGAGGTGATGCCAGACCTCTTGTCTCCCAGAAATTTAAAGAACCATGTGGTGGATTTAGTGGTGGTTCTGCCCACCCAAAAATTGGTAGAAGCAATGAATAAAGAACTGGAGTCAGATTGGCAAATTCAGAAAACTAAGAAGAAAAAGAACTCCAAACAAGGAGAACTGAATCTTGGTAAAGGAAAGGAGCTACAAATATTGGAGGCTTCAACTAATCAGATAAAAAAAGTTTCTAACAAAACTAGAGGGAGGACTAGGTCCAGGTCCCAACCTCACTCTTCTTCCCCCTCCCCATGATTAATTTGCTGTGCCGGAACATAAGGGGGACTGCCCACCCCTTATCCTTAAAAAGACTCAAATATCTCATTAAAGAACACAAATTTTGGTGCATAGCAATTTTGGAACCTATGGTTCATCTCAACACTTCAAAAATTGCCAAATCGTTCCCTGACTTCAATCTGTTCACTAATATCAACAAGAAAATTTAGGTTTTCTGCAAGAAAGAAATGAAGTGCTCCATCTTAGTAAACCATACTCAAATCTTACATATGAATCTTAGCTTTGTGGATATGGAGTTGTTTGCTTCTTTTTTATATGCAAGAAGCTTCAAAGTTGTTAGAACTAATCTGTGAGAGTCCTTGCAGCTCATCCAAGGATCAATTGATAAGGCTTGGCTTGTGGGAGGAGATTTCAACTGCATCTCCTCTTCTGTAGAGAGGAAGGGGGGCAGACCTCCCAACCCTACTATTATATCATTTTTCAATGAAAATATTAAAAAAATTGGGTTATTTGACCTTGGTTTTAGTGGTCCTACAATCACTTGGAGAAGAAAGGCTATGTGGGCACATGTGGGAAAGGTTGGATAGAGTACTTGCAAATTATAACTGGATCCAAAATTTTCTGCAGACCTCCATCACTCACTTAAGCCTAGTTAGTTCTGACCATAGGCCTTTACTGATCTCTATTGGGAATAAGGTGACAAGCCAGAAAAGCTCTTTCAGGTATCTGAATGTGTGGTCTCAACATTTGAACTTCTTAAATATTATTAAGGAGCATTGGAAGAATGACCTTCACCCTTACCCCTTCATTAACCTATGGCTTAATCAAAAGAAGGTGCGCGAAGCTCTTAAACATTGTAGCTGGGAGACTTTTGGGGTCCTTCTGCTGATTGTGGATAAGGTTGAAAAGGAGGTGATTGATCTGGAGGAAGAGCATAATAAAGGGATGTTTGATGAAGTTGTTCTTCTAGAGGCTAATGAGAAACTATTAAATGCAATACAATGGCAAGAACAATTCCTTCAACAAAAGGCTGCCAAAACCAAATTCACTGAAGGAGATAGAAACACCAAATTTTACCATGCCTGCATTAAATACCAGAGAAAATGTAATGTTATTCTAAAGACAAAGGAGAACAATGGCTCCTGGTTACTTGAAAGTGACCAGATTGCTATCAATGTTTTTTGGCACTTTTAAATATTTATGAAAACCACCCATATCACAATATTAATAGAGTGCATATTGATAGCAATTTGTTTGCAGATAGCAAGCAGTTCACTGCCAGTCTGAACTTGAATGATATTCCTGATGAGGAGGAGATTAAAAGAGCTTAGAATTCCATTGAAAGTTCCAAATTTGCTAGCCCTGATGGGTTTACTGCTGATTTCTACAAGAAAGCCTGAGATGTTATTAAGGTGGAGGTGATTAAAGCTATCAACATATTTTCAAAGGTAACTCCCTACCAAATTATTTCAGTGCTTCCACTATTGTGTTCATTCCAAAGACTTCTATCAAGGAAAGCTGGAACCATTACAGAACCTTGAGCGAACCATTACAGAACCTTGAGCTTTAAAAATGTCATAAGCAAAACTATAAGCAAAATTCTTGTGCACAGACTCCAGTCAGTATTACCTCATCTTGTCAGCACTAAGCAAGCTGCTTTTGTGAAAGGCAGAAGCATTGGGGACAACATCCTCCTGGCACAAGAACTTCTACAGGATTTGGAGAAACCTTGTAGAGGGGGAAATTCCATTTTTAAGCTTAACTTGAAGAAGGCTTATGATATGGTGAACTGGGATTTCATTATAGAATGGAGGCTAGGGGATTTTCCAGGGAGTTCTGTTTGATTTTTAAAAGATGGTTGGAGGATAATGCAAATTCAACTTTTATAAATGGAAAAGCTCATGGGTTTTTTAAAGCTTCTAGAGGGCTCAAACAAGGGGACCCTCTATGCCCCACCATTTTCATCCTGGTCCTAGATTACTTCTCTAGAATTATTGATTGCAAGGGAAATAGAAAATGCTTCAACACTTATTACAACAGAGCTAAGATGGATATCAGCCATATGATCTATGATGATGACATTCTGATGTTTAGAAAAGCCACTAAGTCTGCTACCAAGTCCATTATAGAGTGCCTGCAAAAATTCCAATAGGTGTCTGGTCTTAATGTAAACAAGGATAAATGTGAGATCCTGATCAGCAAAAGAGTCTCCCTAACAATCAAACAATGGATGCACTCTTACACTGGATTCTCTAGCCTGAGCCTGCCCTTCAAATATTTGGGGATTCACTTGATAAGAGTAAGAACCAAGATGAGTCAATTTGATGAGGTTATTGATAAGATAACCTCAACTCTTTAAGGGCGGTCTAACTCTTAACTTTCCAATGGTGGAAGGATCACCCTACTAAAGAGCATCCTTACCTCTATCCCTCTGTATGTACTCTAAGTGGAAACAATGAAAAGAAGCACCTCTTTGATGTTGCAAAGAACCTTCAACAGATTCCTTTAGGCTGAGAACAAAAAATAATTGGCTTGGGCAAGCTGGCAAAAAATGGCTAAACCTTAGGAAGCTAGTGGTTTGGGTTTTAACGGCTTACACCAGGTGCAACACATCAGCCTGTGTAAGCTTTGGATTAACTTCAGACAGAATGAAAGCTTATGGACCAAGTTCATGCAGGCCAAATACTACAAATTTGATCACCCTGGGGGTGTCTGGGATCACCCTGGGGGTGTCTCTAGGAAGGTGGGAGATTCCAGAATTTGGATCCAGATGCAAAAGGTCGGGGGAGACATTGAAAAGCTGCTATGATGGGAGCTAGACCATGGGGATATCAATTTTGGAAGGACAATTGGTGCCCTACATAATATTTGGAGCCTTTGCAGGATGAAAAGGAGGGGGATCTACTGGTCAAAGACTGTTGGAATGGCAATGACTGGTCTGAGGACACTTTGAGGTGTATCCAGAAGGAACATTCTATCAGCCTCATTTTAACAATACACTTTGATAGAAATAACAAAGATCAACTTAATTTGAGGAACACGACCAGGTCAAGCATTTCAAAGGATATCCAGAATAATTTGTTTAGCTGGGACAATTGCCAGTGGAATGTATCCTCATGCCAAAAACACTTAACCCCTTCAACGCTTTTCTTTTCTTGGAGAATCCTAAATAACTTACTTCCTACTGATGATATTCTGAAACTAAAAGTCTGAAACAACCATCTAGATGACATCTCTGCAAGCTTGACTAGGAATCGAGAGATCACTTATTTTTCAGGTGCAAATTTGCTAGAGAGGTTTGGAATAGATTTACCTCCCAAACGAATATTAACTTGATAAATATTGGTTAGGGGTAACATAATTGATTGTATTAAAGATTTCCAGGAGATTAACCTCATGCCAATCCCCTTCATTGTTGCTTCGTTCCTCTGGATGGCTAAGAATAAGGCCAAACATGAGGAGAGTGGGGTTAGCACTATAAGGGTGATGATTAACTGTTTGGCATATCTAAATAAGCTGATAAGTTGTAAGAATTTTCCTAAGATCCTGCAGACCTTACCCACTATGGTTGCTAATAATATAAAGATCATCAAGGTTAGATGGGGGAGGCCTCTTTACCCATTCATTAAAATCAGCACTGATGGAAGCTACACAAACAAGAGAGCTAGAAGTGGGCGGATTTTTAGAGATATCACAGGGCCTTTTTTGCTCTTCTATAAGGCCCCATATATTGTTGAAGATGTTTTGGACACTGAAGCTGCTGCTCTTTATTGGGCCTTAAAATTTGCTAAGGAAAACAAGTGTAAGTGGATCTTTGCTGAAGTGGACTCCTCCCTTCTGGTGGAGCTGCTGACTGTTAAGATTTCTTCCCCTTGGCACATAATCCAATGGATTCACAAGATTAAGAAGCTTAGACCTGAAATTAAGATTCAGTTCTCTTTTGTGTATAGGGAAGAAAATAGGATTGCTAACTTCCTGGCTCTGGAGGGTGAAAATTCAGATCATGCTGAAGTTTCCACAAACCTCTCCCCCCTCCACCTGTTAACACAGGGGGAAGAACTTCCAATTCCTTACCTAAGATTGCAAATATGAATGCTGGGATCCTTTCCTATGACCATGAGATGTGCTGGTCTTCCATTGATGTTGAGCTCCTTGTTTCTCTTTTGTTTGTTTTGTTTGGGGGTTTACATGTAATTTCAGTATACTTAAGTTTGTTCTATTGGAGAGGGTTCTTCCTTAGGCTATTTACTTTTTTTGTTGTCTACATATGGTCTTCCATTGATGTTGAGCTCCTTGTTTCTCTTTTATTTGTTTTGTTTGGGGGTTTACATGTAATTTCAGTATACTTAAGTTTGTTCTATTGGAGAGGGTTCTTCCTTAGGCTATTTACTTTTTTTGTTGTCTACATATGGTCTTCCATTGATGTTGAGCTCCTTGTTTCTCTTTTATTTGTTTTGTTTGGGGGTTTACATGTAATTTCAGTATACTTAAGTTTGTTCTATTGGAGAGGGTTCTTCCTTAGGCTATTTACTTTTTTTGTTGTCTACATATGGTCTTCCATTGATGTTGAGCTCCTTGTTTCTCTTTTATTTGTTTTGTTTGGGGGTTTACATGTAATTTCAGTATACTTAAGTTTGTTCTATTGGAGAGGGTTCTTCCTTAGGCTATTTACTTTTTTTGTTGTCTACATATGGTCTTCCATTGATGTTGAGCTCCTTGTTTCTCTTTTATTTGTTTTGTTTGGGGGTTTACATGTAATTTCAGTATACTTAAGTTTGTTCTATTGGAGAGGGTTCTTCCTTAGGCTATTTACTTTTTTTGTTGTCTACATATGGTCTTCCATTGATGTTGAGCTCCTTGTTTCTCTTTTATTTGTTTTGTTTGGGGGTTTACATGTAATTTCAGTATACTTAAGTTTGTTCTATTGGAGAGGGTTCTTCCTTAGGCTATTTACTTTTTTTGTTGTCTACATATGGTCTTCCATTGATGTTGAGCCATTAAATTGTCAAGAGAAGAAAATTATGCTATAGTTTTCTCAAAACAGAGTTTACAGACTGATGGTATTACTATGAAGATCTTAAAATGGAGCACTGAGTTTGACCCGAGCAAGGAGCTTCCTGTAGTTCCTATTTGGTTTAAACTTCCTGGGTTTAAGCTTCATTTCTTTAATCATAAAGTTCTGTTCAATATTGGTCAAGCTCTGGGGAAACCTTTGAAATTGGATGTCCCTACTTACAACCTTTCTAGACCTTCAGTAGCCAGAATTTTAGTAGAAAGGGATATCACCCTTCCTGTTATGGAGGAAATCTGGTTGGGGACTGAGCACAATGGCTATTAGCAAAGGATTGTTGCTGAACAGAATCCATACAACTGTTTCCATTGTAGTATGTTTGGGCACACTGATAACAAATGCTACAAAAGCCATCCCCATCTCAGAAGAACGGCTGGGGGGGCCTCATCTAAGGAGGCTGATCAATTACTTGTAGATGTGGGGCTGTTGAGAAAAGAGGATTTTGATAATCCTTTGAATCAGGAGATAACCAAGGGCAGTGGGGATGATGGCCTTCATAGTATCATCCCTGCCCAAGATGTGAATAATGACCTGCTTGACTAGCAGGATGTTAATGTCAAAGCAAATGATATTTCAGAAGTTGATCTTTTTGGCTGCAACCAGAAAACCAAAGAAGTTCTAAACACTGACTGGAACACTATAGTGGGGGATACTATTCAGGATTTAGGGGCTGGGGTTGCCCTGGTAGAACAACAGATTGACACATCCTTAATTAAGGAGTTTCAGACAGTCCTGGAGGATGAATGGCTGGTCCAGAAAGCAAAGAAAAAGAAAAAGGGTTTCTATGGTTTAAACTTTGAAAAAGGGGGAAGTTACATTCTCAGGGATAGAAAATCTCATAAGGAAGCTCTAGAGGACATGGCTAAAGCAAGAAGGAGGGGAAAATCTGTATCTATTGGATGATGAACTTTCTATGTTGGAATGTTAGGGGATTGGCACATCCTAAATCCCTTAACAGATTGATGGCCTTAAATAGGATGTATAAATTTTGGATGATGGCTATTCTGGAGCTTATGGTCTCTAAAAATTCCCAGAGAATTATAAATAAATTCCCTGTTTTTCTTTTTGCCTCAAATTTGAATAATAAGATTTGGGTGTTACATAGGAAGGAGATGTCTTGCAGTATACTGTGGGATCACCAACAATTCCTCCATATCAAGCTTCAAGTGGGGAGTCAGTCTGGTCTGGCTACTTTTGTATATGCTGGTTGTTCTCCTAGTGCTAGAAAGGAGCTGTGGGAGAGTCTTTTAGCTATTAGTAGCTCTTGTAACTCTTTTTGGATGGCTGGAGGAGACTTTAATTATATTTCAGTACCTTCAGAAAAGTTGGGTGGTGCCCCACCTGACCTCAACAAGATGAATTATTTCAATAATCAAAGAAACTTGGCTGGCCTGTATGACCTTGATTTTTCTGGTCCACAATTTACCTGGAGGAGGGGTCAAACTTGGGAAAGGCTAGATAGAATTTTTGTGAATTCCATGTAGTTTAGTGAGTTCATTCACACTTCTATGCAGCATCTCAACATGACAGGATCAGATCATAGACCACTACTTATGAATATTTCAGCATCAAATGTTAAGCACAAGCCAAGTTTTAGATACCTCAATATGTGGTCCTCCCACCATGACTTCCTAAATCAGGTCTCATTGGTTTGGAGGGACTGTCACCATCCCAACCCTCTGATTAAGTTATGGTAACTGCAAAAGAAGTTAGGTAGACATTTATCTAAATGGAATTGAAAAACAGTGGGTGATTTCAACTTAAATGTTGTGGAGGCTGAAAAGACTGTTGCTAAGTTGGAGGCTGAATTAGAGAGTAACCCTGAGGTGGAGAAGGATTTATTGATTGCTAATGAAAATTTGATGAATGCCATCTGTATGCAGGAGGATTTCTTTGCCCAAAAGGCTGCTAAGACCAGATTTTGTGACGAGGATAGAAATTCAAAATACTTTCATGCATGTATCAAGTTTACAAGAAAGTGCAACACAATACATAAGATTAAGGAGAATGATGGCAAGTGGCTCCATTCTGAAGACTTGATTGCTGCTAGTGCTGTTAACTACTACCAAACACTTTTTAAACAACCATCTGATTTTAGGCCCCCTATCCAGCAGGATTTGTTTTGCAGGGATGAGAACTTCATGAGGGGACTGGATCTGACTTCTATTCCTGGGGAAGAGGAAATTTAGTCTGGTCTGGCTTCCATTGATAGCTCCAAGGTTGCTGGACCTGATGGATTTTCTGCAGATTTTTACAAGAAATCATGGAAGATCATTAAAGATGATATTGTACAGGCTGTCCAAGGTTTCTTCAGAGGTTTGGATCTCCCCAACTATTTTAAATGCTCCAACATAACTCTTATTCCCAAATCTTCTTCTGCAATCTCTTGGGATCTTTTCAGGCCCATAAACCTCACTAATGTGATATCCAAAATGATTAGCAAAGTGATCTCCAACAGACTCCAACCCATACTTCCCAAGCTTATTTGTGAGAACCAGTCAGCTTTCATCAAAGGGAGAAGTATTGTAGAGAATGTTCTGCTAGCCCAAGAAATGGTGTTGGATCTGGATAAGCAATGCAGAGGGG